CAAGAATTTAACAGAAATGGTTGCCTTACTTTCCACAGTACGTTATTCTGGGGACCCAGGTAATGCAGATCCAGACCCCAGATGGAGCCAACGCCTCAGATTTCATCTTACACAACATAAGATCAGATTAGATTGGACAGATACGCACACAACGAGGCGGGTTGGTTTCACTCCATTGTGTGCCCTTTTGTGTTGATTCAAAGCTTCAGTAGCTCAGATAAGTGCATCAGTTGTTGTCAGGTACAAAAATACAGAACATGATATCTGCTTTACTCTCAGGAATACCTTTTACAATCGCAGTCAATGTAACCCTCCTTCCATAGAATACACATTCCATATTTAACACCAGATTGATACCAGACCAGCTCACTTTATGATTGTGTACAATAATTCAAAATAAGTACTATTTCATCATGAGAACCACAATAAATTTCAGTGACCAGGATTACCAACAAACAAGTAATTGTAACAGGCAGCGCGGTTGTAGCCAGCAGTGCTCACATCTGCCTCTCACACTAAAGCCTCAAAGGCCCTTTATTCTATTGCAAGACGATGTAATTAACCCTTCAGATCAAGACTTTCAATTATATTCAAATGAGATCAATGTCTAACAATGGGATTAGTTTTGGCAGAGGTTCAGAGTACGGCAGTGCACTGTTAGGAGTCCAAGTCTTTTGACCAGACAAGCTTTACTTTCTCCATTATTAAAACCAGGGCAGCGACCCAGACAGACAGTTCTGATATGGATGTCTTTAGGGGGAATCAGGAGGATAAAAGATGAAAAGAAGAAGACATACATGAAGGGGATAACGAAACAGAGGTGAAGCATTTCTGACAGGCTGACTTGCAGATTGAGCAACGGCAGAGGCCAAAGAGGAGAAACTCAAGGATTTGTTGAGTAAAAGCCAAAACAGGATATAGAAAATGTGAAAAAGACATGTATAGAGCACACCCTGACATTTTTCTGACAATAGCCAAAACCTTTTCCTCCCTACATCCATTTTATCTGGGCCATATGCAGTCACTGCCCAACACCACAGTTGACAGTTAACATTCCTGCAGTTCATATGCTCACCAGGATCACAGTTAAAAAACAGCTTCTATAGACCTCAGCGAAGACGAGAGTCAGGCAGGAAAGAAGCAATGAGGGGATGAAGAGGAGGAGGAGTGCACCGGAAAAGGTTGACCTCAGTTCTGTGTGTTCTGAGTGTTGCCACAGCTGTATCTGGTTCAGCAGAACACAAGTCACATCAAGGGGAGTTATCTGGACCGGCAGGGAAGACTCAGCACAGGGAAAAGGTCTCTGCCTGCACAAAAACATTGCTGCAGAACCTCACCCTGTACAGTATTGAGGCTATTCAGTTCTACTTTTTGCACTGTTACCAGAACTACACTTTTTTTCAATACCTTACAGAGTCTTCAGTGGGTACCGGGCAACCTCACAATGACAACAAGACTCCACAAAGTTACTGCACATGGCCAAACACAGATGGAAGATGTTGTTGCTCCCAGTCTTTATGCTAAGCTAAGCTAACTGTCTTCTGGCTCCAGGTTCATATTTATTGTACAAACATGAAACTAGTATCAATTCTCAGCCTCAGATGCCAAATTAAGGCAAAATAAAGTATTTGATACACAGCCCTACTCTTGACAACTGTATACAAAGGCTAAAATAGAGCATAGCTAAGCTACAAGGACAAAAATGTATGTTGTACAATTACTCTGTAATCCGTTTTGTAGGCACAATTTTGTCCGAAAACCATTCGTTTGGCCTGTACAAACAATATATTTGATCATCTTTATAATGATTCTACAAAATAAAGCAATTCGAGAAAAAATATATAATATTTTATCAGTAAAAGAAATCCCTTAGTGTTAATAAAACTACCAAACATAATTGTAAAAGAAAACCACTGAAATACCTTTTATATAACATTAAGGAGGCTCTATTGGCAGAAATGGAAGATTATATTCATAGGTGTTTTTTTTATTTATTTGTGTATATCTTTCAAGTTGAACTGCCATGTTTCTACAGTAGCCCAGAATGGACAAGCCAAACACGCTTGGAGGGCAAGCAGTATTCAGTTGATTGCAATCTGCAACATCACCACTAGATGCCACTAAATCCTACACACTGGTCAATAAAGACTATAATAGTCAGTAACACAGCAATAAGCAATATCCAGCAAAAGTATGGCAACATTAGCTAACATTAGGAACCTGAATTAAGCAGGACTGTGTTACTGCTTATGAGCTTAACTTTTCATTTGTAAGAGGAAGTACACATTATTTTTTATTTTATAGCGTGTGGTCTGTTCACCCTAACTAATATTTTTCACCCCTGGTGATGCTCCAAGCATTTAAAAATAACATTTCATAGCCAGATATCTGAAAACGTCGTCATGTGAAACCTATTATTAATTTATCAACTATTTGCATGGCCTGACACCACCATTTTGATTTGGGTGGACTCACCATCATCATCACCATCATTCAGATTGCTTTGTTTTTCTCATTTATTCTAGGGTGGAGTGACTAAACGTAACTAGCTGAAGTTTATCATGAATAACCCCTGTGATAATCACTGCCAGCTGTTTGAAGGAGATAATAACTCACTGGTAGCAGCCCTTTCCTTCCTTCTTAACTTACTCCAATCAACTGATACGTTTTTTTGTTTGAGAGCCGACACAGACTGCTGATATGCCAGTGCTCTGACTGTCTTGCACCAAGGATAACCAGAGAAAAAAGCCAGGGTTGCAGTGCAGACTAATATTTTACTGTAGGGTTTATGAAAATCAGCCATCACAAACACGACAGTGACGGAGTATTCAAATCAGTAATATTACCATTACAGGACAACGGCATGCTTTATCGTGTTAGGTAAATAAAGTTACTGATTAAACACTAAGAGAGTAAAATAAGCAATGGTGGTTTTCAACAAATATAAGCAGTAAATCATTAGCTGCTTAGAGCATCACTTGCCACTGTGGGCATTTACAGCTGTGAGTACTGATAAATGCCCTAAAGAAACTCATTTTTGTGAAAGGTAATTATTCTCAAGGGATATTTTAATTTTTTGTCATTTAATAGAAACTTTTGCATCTGTTGACAAGAATATTTGGAGTTCATAAAAGATCAAATGGGTAGTATCAATATACAGTATTACTTGATGATACAACCACTGGAAGGATGAAGATGTCAACAAGTGGTCTCAGAGAACTGCCAAATTAAAAGACCACAGAAGTGACTGCTGAGCCCTAAGGATGTCACCAAAATAAATTAAAAAAACAAGGATTTCAAGGATCCTATCCTACTGTGAACTGTGTAAATCTGCCACTGTTTCATCACTTCAACAGGTATTTTGAACCTACAGAATTAACAAAAACACTGAGGAAGTCCAAGGTCACTAAGGTGAAGATAACCTGATGACATATCACTTATTCTAAAATCCCAGTCCATAAGCCAGTGATGATGATGGCTCTTGGTTGTAATATTACACTACAACAAAGCTGGTGCCTGTTTGTCTCATCAAGCTTGGAACAGTACCCAGGGCAATCTAAGGTGAACTACCACAATAAAAGCACTCCACTTCTATTAGCCCACCAATGACCCAAACGATTCATCTAATAATCAAACCAGTACATAAACACCTAGAAAGTGACAAATAAAGCATTTGTCTAATACTCCACCACTTTCTATTTAAAGGCCTGTTTGCACAGGTTGTCAAAGTCCATCATTGTAAAGAAAGTATTTGTTAAACTGAAAGAATGTGGTAGTACGTGGGTGTGTGTGTCTGGTTTGGTCAAGGAGGTGGAGCAAAGGACATCAGTTGCTGCAGGCAAAGACTTTGACCTGATATTCACCTCAGATTGACACATAAAACATAGAAATACTATGTTTCATTCTTGGATTCATATAGTGTATGTCTGCGTGTGTGTCTGTGATAAGGGGAGGGGAGATGCTGGAGGCAAAACCTGACCTAATCTGTCATCCATAACTAAATAAATAGCTCAGACTGAGAAAAAAAACATGATCACAGGCTACAGCATAGTTTGTTCCCATTAGCAGACACTTTGTGTATTATTCTATGACTACTACAGAAGCTTTTGCAATTAGTTGCCAGTGTAGCTGCTGCTGACAACCTGATACAGAATATCACTTGTTACAAAGTTTCAAGTGCCCTTTCAAGACTATTTGTAGCCATCCATGGTTGTATTACAGACATTTCTGAGGACAATTTTGATTTCAAGCCAAAGCTGTAAATTCTGGGTGATCCTCTAGTCGCCCACTGTAGTGTGTCTGATTGGATTTAGATTTGTGGTTGTGAAAGACACCAGGGAGCCTTTCAGGACTGGTTTACTGGAGTTGGTAAAGTAGCCTCTTATGGAGACGTTGTCTTATAGAAGTACAGATAGGTCGGAAAAATATATTGTATATCTATAAAGTATATATAATCTATAAGTTTGGGGGGAAAAGGATTGACCCCGGCTTAGAGTGGCAGCACAATGGGCCTATATGTTACTTGGAATGCAATACTTTACTAAAATTACAATGTATGGGACCACTTAGACATTTTATTTACCTTTTGTAAAAGGTTTGTTATCTGTGTCTGTACTGTGTTAAAAAAATTTAAAACCTTAATAAAATCGTAAAAACAAATCGAGAACCTTTAAAAGCTTTCTCCCTTCAACTTAGTGACGTATCCGGTGATAAACTGTAATTGGTGTGATATAAAAAGCCCATTATAAGGGGTGATGGATGGAAAAATTTTGAATCGGGAGCTTTCATTGAGTTTAAATATGAATGAAACTGCAGGAATGAAACTGGATGGGAGGCTGAGGATACATATGTATTATCAAACATACATGTTTGATAATGATAATGTATCATCATTAACATTTTTTACTGTTGTTACATTTGTAATTTCCCTTTAACAGAGTTTGCAGGCACAAGCACATCAGAGAAATGTCTCACACACTGAAACTACTTGATGATTTTACCTTTCTGTAGATGAATAATGTCGGGGAAGTTGGCGAGCAGGCCTTGGTAGAGCGACAGCTTGTCCAGCATATGGAAGAGGTCATACTTAGGTTGCTCTGCGAACATCTCTCCAATGTTCTCATAGGTGCGGCCTGTATGGGAGATGGCGTTGTTGAAGGTCTCTGAGCTGTGTGGAGGGTCCAGCGCGAACGCCTGGCTGATAGACTGGAAGGCATTTCCCAGCCGCTGGAACTCCTTCCTGAACCCTCCCAGGTGCTTACGAACCAGCTCCGAGGCAACATGTGTGAGTTGCATCACGCTGTCATCCATTTTCTTAGCAAAGGATTTGAAGGAGTCGATCCGCTCCTCTACATCCTGAAGGTCCTGGTGCTCGTTAGGGATCTGGAGGGTCAGCATGAAATGGGCACCCACCATTTCGTCCTTCTCAGCCCGTCTCTTGCCCAGTTTCCACTGTTTGTCATCAGCACACATCAGAAAGTGCTCGAAGCCTTCATACTGGGAGAGGACTGGGTGACTGGTCATGTGGTTCATCCACAGTATCAGTCGCCTCTTACGCTTCTCAATGAAATCTTCCTCAAATCGCCCCGTGGCCTGCTTCTCGGGCAAGTGAGGCACGGAGATCACAGTGAACTTGTGCAGTAAGCGGTTGTACAGCCAGTCAAAGTGTTTGTAGCGCCTGTAGACAGGACGCCCTGTGTGGCTCGGCGTCACCCGGTACGAAATGTACGTCTTGATGCCTTTGAACTTTGTCTGCTTAGTGGGGTCTTCAATGGAGCAGGAGAAAGGCTGTGGGCTATCCTTCCACAGGGGCCCCATGGGACCCATCTCAATGGTGTATGACTCAGCTATCTTTGCCATCATGGGTACATCCCCCAACACAAACGCTTCGACCCCTGAACGGACAAAGCTGGAAAATCTGTTCAAGTTCCTGCCCACCATGCTGCCTTTCCTCGAGCTGGAGATGCTGTCCTGTCTCTCCATGTGTGGTTTGCTTCGGTAGTGCACATTGGGGTTGTTTGACAGTGGGCTCTGATGGGCATGTCCATTGGCCCCGGGGCTCCTAGTGTGGTCGCCATCGTCCACCACTGTGGATCTGTCATCCCAGTCATCCCAGTCATCGTCGTCATCGTCATAGTAACCCTGCTGCAAATGAAGAGGGGTGTTTGGGGTTGAGGGGAAATAGGAGGAGTCATTTCCTAAAGATCCTGCCGGGCTTATGGAGCAGTCAGTCACGTTGGAGTTTGAGCGAGTGCGAATAATTTCCACATAGGATGCAGGGAAGAGACCCCTCTCCCCTCGGCTGTTCTCCCCCTGGAACCAGCCGTCCACTGAGTTCTCGTCGAAGATAACCAGTTCCTCATTCTCCTGGATGCTGATCTCCTCTTTGTTTTCACTTTGAAAAGTGTAGATTGCTTTGGCTTTCACTGACATCTTGATACTCCAGTGGGTCCTAAAGCAACAAATTCTACATACCCATAGTGCCTAGATTATACTGATGCTACTGTCTTGATGCATGCTGTACTGGAAACATCTGACACTAGCTCACTGTAATATTTAAACTCATCTCAAATGACATGACAGCTGTGGGATGAGGTGTACAACAGCGCAGGATGTAAATTTAATGATCTGACACTTAGTAAACACAGGAGAAGTCAACAGTTGCGCAAACCTATTACTTCTATCAGCCAACAGAAAAAGTCTAAGATATGCCTACTGTGACCACTAGCATCCTCAGCCCATTGAGGCTGTCGCTCTATTGTCTTATTATCTATTATGCCTAACAGTCTAACAATAACTTTCTGCTATAAAGGCTCTGCAACACAACAGCTCTCTCATAACAAACTCTCTACCTCCTTCCACATCATACAACAAAAACAGGTTCAAAAACAAAAGTGTTTACGCCAACGAGCTCCTCCGAAAGCAGCGACGGTGGTTTTTAATCCTCAGCAACCTGGCGTTGATCACTTAACAGACACTTGATTCTCAACAAAAACGATCCTCGATGAAGATATTTCCAAGACAAAGTGGCCTGCCGGGAGGAAAAACAGAGGGATGAGTAATGGTATCCCTGTGCAGTTTAAGACCGCATTCCCTCAGACTGAAACTTGCTGCGTTTTCCTTGTAAACAGGTTCCTGCGCATCTTCACTCGATGCTCTGAATGTGAGGAAAAAAGCAGAATCCGCAAGCAAACAATGTCCTCCTCCAAAATATCAACACACGGCACGGGTCAGGGCCATTTCTCCGGGTTTACTCCAGTGTGCGCTGCAACAAAGTAACTCTTTCCATGACGTGAGGCTTGGACAATTGAAGGCAAGTTCGCCTTTTTTTTCATCCGCTCCTTTCTATTCTTTGAAAGAGGACAAACTGGCTCAGCACTGCCCCCAACAGGAGAGACTGGTTATAGCCTACAACGCGGATTACAACATCCAGGGGACACTTTATGTAACCAGGCTTCAGATGATGGTGGTAGTGATGATTATTAAGATGGTTCAAAGGGAATAAATTAATAATTACGCTTACTATTATTACCATCAGTATAATAATAATAATAATAATAATAATAATAATAATAATTAGTGTTGTACTTACCTTCAGTATTTTCTTTTCATGACATCACATTTCTGTATTTTGTACTTACTGCACTATATTTATTTGACAGTTTTAGTTATTATTAACTTTATAAATTAGGATTTCAATACTGGCTACTGGTTATTCCTGCTTATATTTGGTAATTATAGTCTTGATAACTTGATTTCAACAGATTAGAACTGACTTCTAGTATATGACTTCTTATATATTCTTAATTCATATTTTATATAGATATTCCTTAACCATAAGATGTTCAGATTCAACTTCAAATTTTGTTTGTATAACAACAGTTCATATGAAAGCAGTTCACAGGACAATAAAACTGAACTGACAAACAAAACAGAGAATAGTTTCAGTCAATCAGTCAGTGTTGAGGTAGCCTACTTATAGCTACTTTACCTGAGTTTTCCCTTCTTATGCTACTTTTATACCTTTACTTGACACATTTCAGGGGAAAGATCATATGATTAATTAATAATTATCACAATTAAGCATTGTTTGCATTGTTATGGATGAAGCTATCCAACAGTATATGCAATCGTTCAAATAAGCTCTACTGTATATAACAATAGGCCCATACTGCTTATCATTATTCATCAATAGTAATGATTCAATAATGAACTTACAAGGGCCATTCCACATAATGAGTAACTTTTACTTTTGATACTTTATGAAAATGTTTTTGATAATAATGCGTACTTTAAAGGTCGAACTTGCAGTGTTTATGGTGTGGCTTTACTGCTTTTATTTAATCTGAATACTTCCACTACTGCAAATATGTATTGTTTCACAAAGAAAGAACCCACTTTGCTGCATAAAACAGATTTTATATAAATGTTCTATAAATATGTGCACCAGAAACACAGTATTCATAATATATCATGTACTGTTATTATTTATGTTACAGTGCAAACGTTTGCTGTGTGAAACCCCGGGATAGTTTGCTGTATTTAATCGGCCAACTAAAAGTCGCCAATGGTGGGAACATGACAGGGTGACGTCAGAGCAGCAGCAGCAGCCTCTCAGGATCTCCACGGTATGTTTGTAACTAATGCTATCAGCTCTCATGAACCAAACCTGCTGTCCTGTATTAGTGAAGGTCTGAACATGTCTGGAAACTGAAGCAGTAACGTGCTAACTTCCAACCAGCGTCGCTAACGACGACTGCTCGGCCACATGATGCTAGCAGGCTTAGCATGGCGCTAGCTGGCTGTGTGTAAGGTTAGGTTGCAGTCTGTTAAACACAGTCCTCAGGGCTGTTTTCATGTCGTAAAATCCCATCAGACAGCCACCAGAGGAGGGTCCCATCACCCGTTAGTAGGAGCCCTTTGTCGTCTGGGTGTGTTACATGTACGAAGATTTCTGTGTCTAAATCTGTTGCATTTTGTTGTACAACTAGTTAGCTCAGAGTGAAAGTTGTGTAGCGTTGAAATGAACTAACCAAGGGAACACCTGAGGTGGAGGGAGGATACAGATGGGGATGCATACGGTATTTGAGCACATAATGTGATGCGTTATGGCACTATCGATATCTACAGAGAGCAACAAACACTCATCTATATTAATGCTACAAGGATTAGAGACATTTTTAATGATCAGTTAATCATTTTAATCATTTACCAAACAAAATAAATGAACTTAGACTAGATCAATAGATTACTGCATAATGAAATTATACACATAACGTTACATCTGGACATCCATGTAAACTTGCATCTAAAAGGGCAAAATTATCTTTCAAAAATCAGTTTAGATTCTTTATATATATATTATATATTATA